TATTGATAAAGACTTTGGCCATATAAAACAGTGATTATAAGTGGGAAACAATATTGTTTTACCAGAATGTGTTTTGGCATTAATGTGGCTCCAACAATAATGACCACAATTTTTCGGCATGTGCTCAATTTAAATCCAACTGTAAAGAAAGCATGTGATAACTACATTGATGATATATTTGTGGATGAAAGTGTGGAAACTGGGGAAAATGTAGCGAAGCATCTGCATAAATTCTGGTTACAATGTAAACCTCCACAAAATCTTGAACAAGGGCGTGTCTTAAAATTGAGAGTCGAAAGAAATAAAAATGGGGAACTGATATGGAAACGAGACAATGTGGTATAATTTGAACCTTTAAATGCAGTCACACGATCGCAGCTTTTCAGCAAGTTAGGTAAACTCATTCGACATTACCCAGTGGCAGGAAGTTTGCGTTTACAAGCTTCATACATCAAATGTTTAGCTGGAAATATACCTTGGTGTGATTTTATTTCAGAAGATTGTAAAGAAAAACTGAAAGATTTGCTTCACCGTGTGAAAAAGGAGGATCCGGTTGGTGGAAAATGGTTGGTACCAGTGAATGGAAAAGCTGAGCTTTATTGTGATGCATAATCCATAGGACTTAGGGTAGTTCTGCTCATTGGTGGAGTAGTTGTTGAAGACGCAGCATGGCTACGGCCAGCAAGTGACACACACCATATCAATATAAGTAAACTGGATTCGATACTTCGAGGACTAAACTTAGCTAGTAAGTGGGACATAAAAGAGTTAACAGTATATAGTGATAGCAAGAGCACCGTAGGATGGTGAAACGCTGTTTTGAAGGAAGAATATCGCGTAAAAACTTGTGGAATTTCTCAGTTGTTAGTACAAAGATGGTTAAACACTATTAAGGAAGTGGCAAATGGTATCCAGATTGTAGTACAATGGATTCCATCCAAAATAAATTTGGCTGATCGACTCTAACGAATCCCTCAAAAATGGTGCAGAACAGTGTGTGCAGTTGGATTACCTGAACAAAAAGACACATGGAAAATTCATTTGATTGGTCACTTTGGTGTCGCTCGAACATTACAACTTTGCTTGCAAAATAACCAGTATGTATCACGTAAGGAGGTTTCAGCAGTAATAGCAAATTGTAACCAGTGCAACTCCATCAATCCTTACTCCATACAGTGGAAGCATGGTCAACTAAGCGTAGAAAAAAATTGGAATCAGGTTGCCATTGACGTGTCACATGTAGGTGCTGAACTGTACTTATCGATAATTGATTGTGGTCCATCACGATATACAATATGGCATAAACTAGTAACTAAAACAGCTGCTGAAGTTGTTGGTAAACTTGAAGAAATATTCTCTATATTTGGACCGCCGGTATGTCTTCTAATGGACAACGAATTTCAGTCTAACACGTTAACAAGCTTTGCTGAAGAATGGAATGTTAATTTAGAATATCGAGCAGCACATCGAGCTCAAGGTAATGGTATCGTTGAGCGCATACACAGGACAATAAAAAAAACAGTTGCTCGCTCACATTGTTCAATTGCTCTGGCAGTCTTGCTATACAACGAGACAATATCATCCAATTGTACTGAAAGTCCATCTGAGCAATTCAAGAAAAAACCAACTTGTTTCATCCCAGGTATCGATATTCAGAGGAAAACAGACGAGAAAGGTGTAATTTGATGTCGAATATGCAAATCAGGTATATCCGCTCCATATTTCACACCTGCGTCGCCGTACAGACCTACAGAGTTTAAATGAATCAGTAAACGATGTTTTTTACAGACTAAAAGATAAAATCAATAACGCTTAAGGAAGATGTCACAATGATGTTTCTCAAATTCAAAATGGTTCTCAAGAACATGTGCTGCAAGTAACATGCTCCGGACGAACAGTAAGGCCCCCACAAAGATTAGACTTATGAGTTAATTCATCAAGAGGGCGTATTCTCTTTTTTATGTTGGTGAATTGTGCATGTTGAAAATCTCATAGATACGTGTTGAAAGTTACGCGTTATTTCAATTGTAATTATAAAAGTATTCTCATGGGACTTTTTGTTATTTTATATATATAGAGACGATTTTTGTATAGAATATTACGTTTTGTTTATTCAATTTATGGACGCGACGAATTTAAAGCCGTCAATGGACATTTTCAAAGCTGACTCCACCTAGCAATTTCAACAAGATAACGCTACTTGCGGCACAGCATGCTCAATTAAGCAATACATGAATGAAAAACGGTTGAACCTGATGCCTTGGTCCGCTCGCTCACCTGATTTGAATCCTATTGAAAATCTTTGAAGTAGGATGGACTGCAAATTACAAAAAAGTAGGCCCACTAACTTGGTGCAGCTCAAAACGCAAATGCAAGCATTGTGGAATACCGTGCCACAATAACTAATCAAAAAACTTATAGATTCTAGAGTCTTGGCATGCCTTAAAAACAAAGGTGGTCATAAAATATTAAACTTTTCTAAATCTTTGAAACCTGTAAGTGCGCTAATACTTTTGCACACTATTTTATTATTGTTTTTATCATTCTTATTGTATTCTAATTAAATTCAAGATAATAATAAAGAAATACTTTACAATTAGTAATTCTGCATTATTTTATCAATTATTTAAAAAAAAAATTATCAATCAGTCTTTTATTGTTTTCGAAATGCAATCCTTTAAAGTTCTCTGAGGTAAAAAAAAATATGAGTGCGCTAATACTTTCTGGAAGCACTGTGTATATATATATATATATATACATATATATATATATATATATATATATATATATATATATATATATATATATATATATATATATATATATATATATATATATATATATATATATATATATATATATATATATATATATATATACATATACATATATATGTACATATACATATATATATATATATATATATATATATTTTTTTTAATTATCTTCGCTTCCAACAAGGTTGCAAGCAACCACTTATTAGTGTTGGAAGTTACTGGAAGAGAAAAGATGAAGATTGTAGAGCAAGATAACGATTGACAGACGACTTAAAATATTGCAAATTATATGAATCAGGAAAGCAAGATGAAGGAAGCGAATTCCAAAGAACTGATGTTCGAGGAAAAAAACTAGACGAATAAGAGTTTTTGGAGCACTTAGGAACAGTAACAGAAAAAGGATGAGACTTAATTGAATGACGAGTAACACGAGAATGAATTTTAGTAGATGGCACAAGAGACGTTAGCTCTTTAGAGCAGTGCCCATTATAGTATTTGTAGAAAAGAGAAAGAGAAGCAACATTACGACGATGTGACAGACGTTGAAGGTTGGCTGCAAGAGCAGGTCCAACTATGTTTACAATGCGTTTTTGCACCTTGTCTAAAAGAGAAAGGGCATCATTAGAAGATCCGCACCAGATATGGCAACAGTATTCCATACAAGGCCGGAGTTGAGATTTATAGAGATAGAGAATAGAATCCAGAGTAAGAAAGTGACGAGCTCGATAAAGAGAAGCAACTTTAGCAGATGCTAATTTTGCAACAGATTTGATATAAGGTTTCCAAGAAAGATCAGAAGTAAGAGTTAATCCTAGAAGATGAAGGGTAGGAGACTCATCGAGTACATTACCGTTCATAAATATAGGAAGGTCTAAATTATTGCGATAACGATTGGCCGAAAAAAAGTGAGTTTTATCTGAATTAAAGTTCACCAGCCACTGCGAGCCCCATGCTGTAGCAGAATTGAGATCCTTTTCAAGCTCAGATGCCCCCTGCAAGCAATCAGAGGGAGTTGGCTTCTTATCATGACAAGAATAAATGGTAGTATCATCAGCAAACAATGCTACCTTAGATGTGAGAATATCTGGAAGATCGTTAATGTAAATTAAAAAGAGTATAGGGCCAAGGATTGAACCTTGGGGAACCCCTGAGGTTACAGAATAAGAAGAAGAGTGCTGTCCATCAAGGACAACTTTTATACTACGATTGGAAAGGAAGGATTCAATAATCTTAAAGATGTTTCCAGATACACCATAAGAAGAAAGCTTATGGAGGAGACCAGCATGCCAAACTTTATCAAACGCTTTAGAAATGTCAAGAGCAATGGCCTTAACCTCTCCACCTTTATCTAATGCGCGATAAAACCTATCAGTTATTACTGATAGCAAATCAGCCGTAGAACGAGAAGATCGAAATCCATACTGATGATCAGAAAGTAGGTTATGAGATTCGAGATGAGATATTAAGTGTTTGTTAATTAAAGATTCAAAAACCTTGCTTATGATAGGAAGAAAACTAATGGGACGGTAGTTAGATGAGTCAGATCGCTCTCCAGAATTTTTAAAAATAGGGATAACAGATGCTGCTTTCCAGCAGGCTGGAAAACAAGACTCTGATAAGTACTTGTTGAATAGTTTTGAAAGGATAGACGACAGCTCCGGAGAACACTTCTGCAAGACTATAACAGGTATGTTGTCCGGGCCGCAAGCTGTAGAAGAGTCTAAGCAGGAAATCACTTTAGATACAGAAGCTGGAGTTATACGAATGTCGAGCGATGGATCAACCTGTTTGACGGGTATATCAGGTAAAACGCAACTAGTGGCATCAAGTGATGATATTGATGAAAAGTTCTATATATATATGTACTATATATATATGTACATATACATATATATATGTACATATATATATATGTATATATACATATATATATGTTCTATGTATATATGTACATATACATATATATATGTACATATACATATATATATGTACATATATATATATAATATATATATATATATATATATATATATATATATATATATATATATACATATATATATATATATATATATATATATATATATATATATATATATATATATATATATATATATATATATATGTACATATATATACATATATTATAGCAATTGTTGACTGAGAAAACATATTTAAATGCTATTGAGTAAAACATAATGCAAAACAATTATGAATTTATACCTGCTTTAACACTTTCGTTTTGACAAGCATTCAGAAACACCTGCAACAAAACAGATTCTGTAGATAAATACTTAATATATAATGTGTGTGTATATATATGTATATATATATATGTGTATATATATATATACATATGTATATATATATATATATATATACATATATATATATATATATATATATATATATATATATATATATATATATATATATATATATACATACATATATAAATGTATACATATATAAATGTATACATATATCTAGTTAAGATTCTTTGACATTAGGCCTTTGATATATATATATATATATATATATATATATATATATATATATATATATATATATATATATATATATATATATATATATACATATATATATATATATATATATATATATATATATATATATATATATATATATATATATATATATATATATATATATATATACATATATATATATATATATATATATATATATATATATATATATATATATATATATATATATATATATATATATATATATATATATATATATGTTTGTGTGTGTGTGTGTGTGTATGTGTGTGTACAAATACAATTAACCTCCCAAACAAAGATAGTTCTACTGCTTCAAAGACTACTTTTCTATTCTTTTTTAATCTTTAATTCTGAAACACAAATATTCATTTTTATATAATATACACTTTTTTAATGTTCTAATATAAAACCTCTTCAATAGAAGAATCAGCAAGACCATAACTTTGAATTCCAAGTAATTTTTTTGATTGTTCCAGATTGTAAAACAAATTTTCAAACTCCCCACTTGATCTTGCTTCAGATGGTAAGCTGAATGTTAACTCAAAGTTTGAAACTTTTTCAAGAATAGCGCCATTGACAAATGAGGAAACAAAATTTAAAAGCTCGTTTGAAGATTGCAAATTATTTTTATTATCATCTAATAAAATGGTTAAACGATAACCTTTTGTGAAATGTTGTTTTAAAAACAACGAGGAGCCACTACATTTAAGTTTACCATTTGATAAAATACTTATTCGATCTCCAAGAGCATCGGCTTCATCCATATAATGGGTTGAAAGAAGAATTGTTCGACCTAAAGTTAATTTAAAAATAAGATTTTTTTTTAATTAAAAGGGCTCTTAACTCATAACACATTAGAAGTTTTATTGAAGATTGAAATATATGTTAAAAAAAGCTTGAAGAAAATTTTTTTGTTTGATAATGATTTCTTTAAATCAAAATTTACAGACACAACCTACAAACTTTATAATATTATTTTTTTATATATTTTGTTTTATATATTTTTATATTATTTTTTTTTTTAATGGGTTTTTATAAAAAACTAATCGCAAACTTAAAATACTATATTTACAATGGTGTGTACAGTGGTATGTACAATGATAATTTGGCCCCCTTTGATTATAAATGACATGTTCTAAATATTTAGTAGTAGTAAAAAAAATAGTACTATGACATCCAAGCTATTCAAAGTTAAAGATAATGTTGCAGTAAGCATTACGTTTTTGTTTTTTTTTTAATTCATTTTTTTTTTTTTTTTTTAATTTATTAAGCTTGTTTATAAACATATTTACAAATATGTTTATAAACAAGCTTAATCAATGTTTAAAAACATGTTTGTAAATATTTTGTAAACAAGTTTACATTATGTTTGTAAGCATGTTCTTTCTAACTATGAAAAAACATGTTCATAAACTTGTATATACTTCACAATGGTAGAGCCACGATCATGACTGTGGAGTCTTGGGGTCTGTCACATTACTCTCCTTGTTTAGCAACTAGCTACACAAAATGGTTAATCAGATTTGGATTATTCTGTAAGAAGCTCAAAATAAAACATATGCATTACTGCATTGTACAAACCAATTGTATAACTGGTAGCATGAAAAAACCCTCCGAAAACACGCCCTAAAGAAAAAATTCCCCTAAGAAAAAGTCCCCCAGGATTTTTTTTTACAGAGCATAAAATAAACAATATATCAATATAATTGTTTTTTATATTATAAATGTTTTATACATACATATTATGTTACAAGCAAAACCTTATTCCTTCATTTTTCATAAGTCAACTGACAAATAAGTAGAACATGCAATGAGTGTACAACTATTGACTGACAAATAGGTAGAATATGCAAGGAGTGTTGCTACATTAAAAGTTGCAACTTGTTCATAATAAAAGATTTATAAAAACCAAAACCAGACTTATTACTTGTAAAATAACTTATTAAAAAAATATTTATAAAAGCTAAAACCAGACTTATTATTAGTAAAATAACAGATTAAAAAAAAGTCCAAATATGTCTTAGTTTGATCCTTACAAAAAATATCAAAATATTTGAATAATTTTATTTGATGGACTATTTTTTAATAATAAGTTGTTGATTAACACTCTCTAAAAAGGAGCATAAGTAATGCGTATAATTAGTAAAATAATGCATCTAAAAGCCTGTTGTTGTCTCTTGTATATTTTGAATGCAACAGTAATATGTGAACCTTGTTAATGATTCATGACAATCTTTGATATGACAAAATGAGATGAGTATGATGAAACAAGATCAGATGAGACTCAAGAAATTTTTCAATTTGAGCTTGTTTTATTTGTGACCATGCAGTTTGAAGAAACTGATAAAATTCTTCATATTTTTAAGTTTATAGTTTCTGATAAAATTTATCAGCATTTCTGAACCTACAATGCCAATGTACTTTATCATCAAGTTGTATAATTGTTGTAAACTTCTCAAGTTGTTTTCATTTATTCTCATTAAGATTTTAGTCAGGAGTTTGAGCAGGCTCAATAGTGATTTTATTTGTTTAGAACCAAGCTTTAACATGTTTTGATGTTGGTAAGAATCATTGTCCTGTTAGAAACTCCACCATAGAGGCCACCAAGAAGAGAAGATTGTTATCAATCTTCTCCACCATAGAGGCCACCAAACACCAATTTTTATCTGCAATTTGATTCTCCAGAATTAAATCATATAAATTTTTTTGCAATTATACCTTCAATGTAATAGAATGGTTCCAATCTTGAAAATCCTGAATAGCACCCCTAAAATTCATTAACTTTTGCTACCTCTATGTTTATGGTTCCTATAGTACAATTATGCAATATCTTTGAGTCTTTGCAAACTTTAAAGATGCTTTTTGGTTCTTTTATAGAATTGGCTTATTTTTCTGCATGTTGACAATACAACCCTGCATCATTCAAATGTTCTGTAGAGTATCTTCTGAATTATCAATTTCTGATAGTGTATAAAGCAGATTGTAGTCTGTTTTATTTCTCACATAAAGTACTGGCATAGAATATAGGTTGGGTTCAGTGCTTTCCGGCTGGATATACTAAGCAACTCAAGAAATACATAACAAATTAATTCCAAATTTCTTTTATAATGACATTCTATATACAAGTATTTAATTTTATTAGTGTTTTACTAATACTATCAGTTTATCAGTCCAAAATGAGTAAACAATTTAATAATTGGAAAAAGGTTTTGGAAATTTTCTTTAAAATCCTACCTATTCACATTCAAAAATTGCAAAATTCTCAAAAGAAGTCTCAAACTATCAAAAGTGGCAGTGGAAAGATAAAAGGATTTGTTGACAAGAACAAAGTGAGTTCAATTATTCATTCAATTACAAGAAATCTATGTCTATCTCAAAGAGATTACACCTAAAAGTTTAAATGCAGTCGTTTCCTTGTCAAAAAAGCACTCAAGAGCTAGTGTTTGAAGGCTTTTACCAAGAAAAAAAACTCTCAAGCGACCAATTGATGGAGAATTAAAAGCAATTAGCTGTGCAAAGAAGATTGTCAAACTTTTTAACCAATAAAATTTATTCAAAAAACACACAACGAAATATACTGGAAAAAGGATTTCTCACTAGCCCAGTCATAAATGGTATTATCATTTAAAAGGTGTTTATGTCAGCAATAATTTTAAGTAAATTCAGACTGAAAAGTTTGCTTCAAAGATTTTTATGTGGCAAGTGATTTGCTTTTGTGGTCTTAAAAGTGCTCCATTCATCACTCAAAAAACTTTGGCTTCCAATTTGTACATCATCGAGTGTCTTTAGAAACGTCTATTGCCATTTATTGACAAACACAGCAAGACAGGCTGAGTTTTGCAACAATCAAACAGTTTTTACTTTTTGGCTAGATTTTTCAACAATCCACTACTTCAAGAAGATAATGGAGTGATGCAACCAAAATGGTATAATTGTCCCAAAAGAAGTAATTCCTTTAAACTGTCCTAAGCAGCACGGTATTGAGAGTTACTATGCAATTGTGAAAGGAATCTTGTTGAAAAGCAAAAAATTAGCAAAAGATGAAAAAAAAATTTTAAAAAAATGGATAGCAGCGTCAAAATAGGTAACTGAAAACAAGATCCAGGCCGTGATGGCACCTACTCTTAAAAAAGTTCAATTAATTTCTAAACGTCCTCTGAAATCTGTACAAAATGATTAAAAACTTTAAATCGTATAATAAATTTTATTATTAAAAAAAATTTAGAAAGTTTATTAAGTATTTCTTGAGTTATCACTAAGTCTAGTTGAGTTAAACAAATATTTCTTTTCTGTTATAGCTCTTTAGGTTAAAACAAAAAAGTTATCCATTTATATATTTAGTGTAATTACTTTTTATTATAGAGTAATGTGTATGAATGGTAAAATATTTCAGCTAAAAGCTATAGGTAACACCAGCAGTATTTTGTTAGACTTCTAAGAATGTCTTGATCTTTTGTCAAACATTCAAATTCTTAGTCTTGGGTTGACTTTCAAAATCTTGGTCTTGAATTGAATTGGCTGAGTTCTGAAGACTTAGTCTTGAATATTTGGTCTTGAGCCCAAATGTTTTGGTCTTAGTCTTGGTCTTGGACTTTACTGTTCACATCTACTGACTACTTCTTTGGTTTGGTTTTTAACTTTGAAAAAAGTTATTTACGCTAAAAAAAATTATTTAATTTTTAATTTAACACAAATATTTTGTTAATAATGACCTGCTAGTGTTTTATAAAAAAATTTAAATTGTATAAAAAAGTAACAAAAATACACATTAAAATTTAGAGGTTAGAACATGCTAGAATGAATAGAGGGAAATTTAATAAGATTTAATGCTATAATTGGTTGCTCAATTTTAAGAATTTTAGGCTACAAAAAAAACTCTTTCATGTTTTATTTAGACCTTGTCTCTCTTAAAAGTTCATAGTCACAGAGGAATGGAAATATATTTCCATACCTTCATGACTTAAAATATCTCTAAGGTAACTTTGTAATCACCTTCAAAATTTGTGTAAATTCCATTAAAAAAAGAAAAATTGCTTAAGTGAAACTGAATGCATGCAATCAGTTTAAAGTAAGACATATACCACATCTACAAAAAATCTTGATTGTATCATTTATTTCAGAAACCTGTCAATTACCATTTTATCAAAAAATGTATTATATATTATAGAATATGAATAGTCAACTTAAGTCACACCATTTTATACAGAAACTTGTGAGCTGTCAGGTCTTTCAACAAGTTGTACTTTATCCTGAAGTTTCCCTTTATTATAAAAACCCATCAAGTAAAATCACATGGTGGCTGTCTGCAGTAAATTTTGTGTTCATCTTGTTTTATTCTCACTTTTGAATACAGATGGTGCAACATTTCCTAATCATTTTAGTTTGTCGTGAGTGAGAGATTGATTATCTACAGTTTTTAGCTGAATATAATTTTTTAGTGCTTTAACATATTTCTTATAATAATGTTATAATTTTTTATAACATTGTATTATAATATGTAATTTATGATTATTTGGTTTTAAAAGTTGCAATCTGGAACAGTTTTTATCGGTTTTTATCAAACAACTGTCAATAGAAGAGTCAAAAATTTTAGTAGAAATCTTCCTCACTTTTTCCAGTTTCCCTCAATTCAATATTTTAAGCAAGGAAAACACATGGTGCAAGTATAAAGCTGATAAATAGAAGATGCAAGGTTAAACATTTTCATAATGTTTGTATTGCTTCAAGTGGACCAATTTAAGTTGAGAGATAAGGTAAAATATAGATTTTACTTTAGATACTTTAAGGAAAAAT